TTTAAATAAATACCCTAACCTAGGGATAATTTATTACTATAATATCCCTTATACTTATAATTTTATAAAAGGCTATTCCGACGCTAGCTAGGCGTCTAACTATATAGATAGAAAATCCGTTTCTAGATACTATTTCTATATTTATAAAAATATTATAAGTTAGGCTAGCTAGAAGTAAAAATCTATAGCCCTATTAACCTACGAAGCTAAATTTATTGCCCTTAGGGAGGCTAATAAAGAAGCTTTATACCTAAATCGGCTATTTTATTCTATAAATAATAGCTTGTCTATTAGAATTCCTAATACTATACCTCCTATCTTAACGGATAACGAGGTAGCTATTAAATTAGCTGAAAATCCGGAATTTTATAAAAAGACAAAGCATATAGATATTGCTTACTTCTATACCCGAGAAAATATTAGGGAAAAGAAGATCCGGATTTTCTATATTAAATCCGAAGATAATATTGCCGATGTATTTACTAAGGAACTAGGAAGAGAAAAATTCTTTAAGTTCTAAGAGCTTCTTTCCCTTAGGGAATTAAAAGAGCCTTAAAAGAAAAGCTTATATCCCTTAATAGAGGTTTTTAGCTGTCTTTTGCTTTCTTAGCTTTTCCTCTATATATAACTAATAGGTTTTTCCTTTAAAAGGTTTCCTATTAATAAAAACAACTTATAAAAATAGGGTTTTTCTTATTAAAAGGTTTCTATAATAATAACTCTATAAGGCTTTTTCCTTATAAAGGTTTGCCTAAAAAGAGGAGAAATAATTATAACTATAACTAGGATTTTCCTACTAAGGTTTTTCTAGAAAGGGTTTTAAAATTTTTCCCTTATATTCCTATTATACACCTTATTCTTAATAAGGATAATTCTACTATAAAAGAAATAACTAGTAAAGAGCACTATTTACCTAGTACTCTTTAAGGGAGGCTATAAGAATATACCCTTATATTCCTATTTTACTGTTATAAAGAAATAATAGGCATAGGGAGGCTTTATAGAATAAGCTAGTAAAAAGAGGCTCTATAATACAGTCTAAGGGAATAACCCTTAAAAGACAAAGACCTCTACTAGACATCTATACCTTCTTCTAGGAAAAGCGGGTAGGATAAGCCTATCCTTATAAACAAAAATATACATAAAATGCATAAGTTAATTATAAGTAGAACGGATACCCTATTGCCTATTTTGGCCTAGCGGTTCCGAAGATATCCGCGATACGAGAATAGGTAGGGCATAGAACATTCTAGTTAAATCTACTACTTATACTAGAACCTATAGTCTTACGTTAACCATCACGCTACAATCAGACCACCTACTAAGTTAGGAAGATATACTATAGATAGAGCTTTTTATGCACTATAGAATGTGCTAGAAAGCTAACTAATTGGTCTACTAGTAGGCGAGCAATGGTCTATAAAAGACGAAGGATTTCCCTAGGAGTAGTAGATAGAACAAGCAAGTTCGCATATATCTTTTGCAACGCTATTCTTTTAATATATTATTCTCTCGCGAAGAGAGATGCGAGAAGTGCATGAAAATGCATGAAGGTGAAATTGGAAGTAAGGGGTCGGACAGGCAGGGCAGAGGGATTTGATTCTTGCGAGGGCAGCAATAAAGGTAGGGGAGTGATTGTTGTATTGCCTTGATTGTCCTTCTTTCCTCTATCCAACGCCCCTCTTTATACCCTTCTAGCATCTCAATTAACAAAGAAGATCCTGCTTAAAGAAGCCACTAATGTCCCTTTAACTACCGAGCTTTTTGCCGGTTTTTCCCCTCCTTTCTATCCGTTGCCGGCATATCCGTCTTATCTCTCGCCACCTCCATAGGAAGCCATCGCCACTTCTGCTTCCCCTCATACCCCCACCCTCCTCTCTGCACCTCCTTTTAGCTCCTTCCTTAAAACCTGTTTTTTAGCTTCCTAGGTCCCTTGTGCCAAGGGATATCTCCGAGAACTGCGAAATCAGGCCACGCTTCGCGACACACCCCCTTAGCTATGGCCTGCCCTTATAGTAAGGGCATAGCTAATACGGCTTCGGGCTGGTGAGCGTATAGAGGAGGTTCTTAGCTCTGCACTTCTCCCTTTACTCGAGGAAAGCAGGGGCCCTTTCGGGTCCCTAGGCTCTTTAGACCTACTTAAGGAAAAAGGGCCTAAAGAGGGGAAAGTACTATAAGAAAGGGGGGCCTTCTTAGAAGGGAAAAACCCAATTAAAATAGGGGGCCCTCTAAAGGGAAAAAAACCTCTTCCTTTTCTTCGGCTATAGACGTTACCTTCTCGTACGTGCTATTAGCTCCTCTCGTAGACTCTTAAGGCGGGCCTCTAAGGACAGCTTCTCTCGAACGTCTTCTAGCCTAATTTGCTGTAAGAAGACAGCTAGCTTCTGCTTCGGCAGGGGCTTCGTAAGACCGTCGGCTTTCATCGATGCCGTTAGAACCTAACGGACGGAAATAAGTCCCCTTTAGACCTCTTAGCGTAACTAATGCTAGTGGATATCGATATGCCGTAGCCGGGTCGACAACTTACTGTTTTCCGTAAGAATTCGTATAGTCTGCGTGTTATCGCATTCTATAGCTAATAGGGTCGGAATTTGCAGTCGTAACGCTATTAGCAGCCGGCTAAGGAAAATCGCTTCTTTTGACGCTTCTAAAAGAGCTAGTAGCTCTGCCTCCGTACTAGAAGTCGTAACGGTAGCCTACTTCGAAGCTCTCTAAGCAATAGTTCCTCTAAAAAGGGATATAATATACCCTTGTGAGCTCTTTCTGTCTAAGGAATTGTCCGTAAAGGACGAATCGCTCGAATAAAGGAAGATTTCGGCAGCTTGTTTCCTTCCCTGCCCTCCTAGGCGCAGACCATATAATCTCGTTAAATAGAGATAAAGGATAGCTCTGTCTACTGCTTCTTAATGCCTAGGGCTAGGATTCTAGTTATGCCTAGCTAGCCGGGAGACCGTAAAAGAGATATCCGGTCTAGTAGAAATAGCTGAAAAAGCAGGAGCCCACCTTCTATTGATATTAGTGTTTCTCTTGCTCCCTAGCTTAAAGGACGGATTAGGCAAAAGCTCTTCGTCTAACATAGGCGTAGAGGGAAGCTTCTTATCGAGGGATTTAGGGAGGAATTTATAAGCGACCTTATCGATATAGGCGTCCTAGGTAAGCTAGATAGTCCGTTAGGACCTATTCCAAAGGATTCGTATCCCTAGGAACCACTTTGGCTCCCCTAGCCTAGTTATCTTATACCTTTATTGTAGGCCTCGTATAGCCTCCCTAGCAGTAGCTTCTTCCTCTTTCGGGTACGCCTAGATAATGTCGTCGACGTAGAAGAAGACCGTGATTTTACCCTTCTATATTATACACGGTTACTAAGGGACTTTCGTAAAGCCTAGGGCTTCGAGGGAACCTGTTAAATGCTGTTGCCAAAGAAGGGGTGATCTTCGTAGTCCGTATAGAGCTTTCCTAAGCCGTAGAACCTTTCCTGGCTATTAGAAGCCTAGTAGAAGGCGCATATAGATAACTTCTTCTTCTTCCTCGAGTAGGCAGTTAACAAAGGCGTTAACTATATCTATCTAATCGAGTTCGAGGTCGAATTCTGCTGCTATAGCTATAAGGGTCCGAAAAGACATCCCTGCTAGGGTGGTTGCCCTAGTAGGTAGATCCCCTTTTTCCTATTAATTCCTATAGATAACTAGCCGGGCTTTGCACTTTTAAAGGAAGCCGTGTTTATTAGTCTTATAGATAAAGACCCACTTATAGCTAAGGACCTGTTTTCCTCTTGCCTTTTCCTTAAGGACCTCTTCGAAAGACCTTATTTCTTCGTGTGAGGCTAGGTGGTCTTTCTAGGCTTAGAAAAACTAGTCTCTAAAGGGGTGTTTTTCTAGCTGCTTCTGGTTTGCTGGTGGGTCCGGGAGGTCTCTTTTATATACCTTCCTTGTGTGACGGTCACGGACTGAGCCAGAAGGCTGTGGACTCTATTACGAAGATTCTGCTCTGAAGAAGAGAAAGGAGAACAGAACAATACAACTGGGTGTCCTCTCCCTAAATATGCCTTCCGTACGTGTGGGCCGTTGGCTCAGCAACATGTGGGTCATGTATGCAAAGGGGGTGTGACGGTGCTAGGCCGTCACACTACCCCCCCCCCTAAAGCCGTCGAACACCATCGGTGGAGATGGCTCCTCACGAGTGTCGTCGCAGTCGCCGTCGCTCATGCCCACGGCCGACAGCCTTGTTGTCATCGTTGTGACTCTCTGCCCACCTGTCTTCCGCAGCGGCTAGCAGCCATTCTGCCAATCGTACAGGCGGTCCAGGTGCCTCGGGATATTCGTCGTGGAACCGCCTGAGAGCTGCGGCACCATTCTTGAACCCTTCAGCGTCGTAGTATAGCTCGTCAGGGTCCTGTCCTGCCCACTCGGCTCGGTACTGTAATTTCCCCCTTGAGATCCTTGACGACAATATTTTCGCCACCTCGTACTCTGGCTCGCCGTTAATCATCTCGGCCGGCGGAGCTTCCACCTGCTGTCCCGGCAGCGGGTCTCGCGCAACCCTTCTCAACCGGTCGGCATGCAGCACCTTTGCCACCCTCATGCCTTTGGGTAGGTCCAGCTCGAATGAGTGACCCCTTTTTGCCACGATTCTGAACGGACCCGCGTTCTTAGAATCTAGCCGCGTTGTTGGCCTGTCAGTTGACCAGCCCCTTTTCGAAACAAACACCCAGTCACCGACATCAAAATCGGGCACTCTTCTCTTCAAATTGGCTGATCGTTCCTGGCGCCTTTGAGCCGCTTCCACGTTCCTTTTTGCCAGCGAACAAACTTTCTTGGCTCGATTCACAAAGTCCTTGGCTGCCTTTTGGGCGTCGGTCCAATCCCCGACCTGCTTGTCGGTCGCTATATGAACGAAAGCCGCGTGGGGTGCTCGCCCTTGGGAGGCCTCGATCGGAGTCATGCCTGTTGAGTCGTGCGGCGTGGAGTTATGCGCGAAGTCTAACGCCGCCAGATGCTCACTCAATCGTCTTGAAAATACGACACGTAAAACGTCAAGCGTTGGTCAAGATACTGGTTGGTAATCTCCACGCCTCCTTGAGTCTGCGCATGGTAGGCACTGCCGAATTTGTGCTCTGTTCCCGTCATCTCGTTGACCTTGGCCATGAATTTCGAAATGAACTGTGGTCCGTTGTCCGAGAGCCAAATCTTCGGTAGACCGAGGTGACCAAACACGCGGCGGTAATATCGCTTGGCCAGTCTTTCGGCGGTGTCTGTCTTTTTCCCCGGAATCGTGAGAATCAGCTTGCTCAGCTTGCAGATGAACGTCCAAACGTAGTCGAATCCATTTCGATCATTCGGCATGTCCTTTCCGTCCACCAGCACGGTATGCCAAGGTTCCTCTGGGACGGGCAACGAATGGAGCAATCCAGGTGACTTATCTTTCCACACCTTGTTCCTACGGCATGCCTGGCAATTGCGTGCGTAGCGCGCGAGATCCTCATCCATACGTGGCCAGTAATAGAACGGCCGCAGCATCGCCTTCATCTTGTTCTTCCCGGGATGACCCCTTGATTTGGGTTCGTGGACTTCCCGGATTAAGGCAGTTCGCAGTGCGAGCCCTTCTGACGAGTACTCCGGCACCCAGATACGATCTCCCTTCCGCCGGTCCTCCTTGGGAATCTGTTTCTCATTTTCCCGGACAATCAGCTCCACAAGGAACACTCCGGCTGGTGCCTCCCCAGGTACTGCTGGGCCGCGGTCCTCAGAATTTGCCGCGATGTCTAGGGGAGCAGCTTCGACATGTGTCTCCTCGAGAACTTCTGCGGGTACCCGATCGTTCGGGACCAGTTCCATGGTGCGGGAATCCAGGTCTCTGGCTCTGACGGTCTCGAAGTTCTCGCTTTTCCGGGACAGGGCATCTGCAATTATGTTCTCCTTCCGGGTCGGTATGTCATCTTGTAGTCAAATTCCGACAGAATCTGTGCCCAACGGGCTTGTCGAGATGATAAAACCCGCTTTGTCGCAAAGTACTTGAGAGCTTCATGGTCCGTTACTACTTCAAAGGGCCCCAACCAGCTCTGGCCTCCACTCTTCTAGGGCGCGGATGATGGCGAGGAATTCTCGGTCTTGGATAGGCCATACCGTCTCTGTTGACGACAAGGTCTTGGAGAAGTAGGCCACCGGCTTCCATGAGTTGTCGTTCTGTTGTTGTAAAGCGGTGGCGCCTACCGAATGCTTTGACGCATCAGTCTCTATCCGAGTCAGGGCGCCTATCTTCCAGAAGCCCATTCCGGGAGCTCGGACCAGGGCTTCCTTGAGTGCTTCAAAAGCCGCTTCCTCTTGCTTGCCGATCTTGAAGATTGCCCCTTTTTTTAGGAGCTCGTTGAGCGGGTGCGCCAGCTCGCTTACTTCTTTCGAGAGCGTCGGACAAAGTTAACCAATCCGAGGAAAGATCGGATGGCTTTCGTAGATTTTAGGTCCGACAGCCTCCACTCAAGGATGGCCTGTTTCTTCTTAGGGTCAAGGGCGATACCTTCCCCGCCTTAATCACCAGCCCGAGGTAATCCACCTCGGTGACGCAAAAGGCTCTTCTTGATGTCGCCCTGTAGGCCTGCCGCTGCCAGTCGTCGAATGACTTCCTCGGTCTGGCGCACGTTTTCCTCGGCCGACTCTGAATAGATCAGGATGTCGTCGGCGTACGAACTGCAGTAGATGTCCAGGATATCCCTCAGGCAGTCGTTGATAAAGCATTGAAAGATTGCTGGGCCGTTCGTCAGCCCAAAGGGCATCACCTTCCAACGGAAAGTTCCCAGCCGGCACCGAAATGCCGTCAGATCCATACTTTCGAGGGCCATTCGCAACCTATGGAAGGCTTGACGGATGTCGATTTTTGTAAAAAACTTGGCGCTTGCTAGTTTTACCAGGGTATCTTCTAACAGAGGCATGGGGTACTTCATCTTTGCACTGGCGTCGTTGAGGTCCCGGTAGTCGATCACGAATCTCAATCCATGCCCATGTCACCCTTGGGCACAAAGAAGGCTGGTGAGGCAAATCCAGGCCAGCAGCTCTCGATGAAACCCTTGTCCAGGTAATCTTGAATCGTCTTTCGGAGTAGTTCGTCTAGATGATGTGGGTTGCGGTAGACACCTCTCGAACGCTCTGGCAATGGCTTGGTCAGGTAGATCTTCATGTCCCTCCCTGGGCCGCGGAGAGGAGGCAACTGGTTAGACTCCTTCTTCGAGAAAAATCCAGCCAGATGGCCCAGCGGGGTCGGGAGTTTCTCTTTGATCAGGCGGACCGTCTCGTCATCCTCACCCCGTGGAAGTGGGATAACTGGGCGGGTGTCCTTCGGTGGTACCTTAGGCATCTCTGGCGTTTGCGGGTTCACGTGAGCCACCGTAACACTTCTTCGAGCCAATTCTCCGAGGCGCGATGCACTCTGAATTCCTTAAGGCGGGCTGTCAGCAGCCCTGAAGTTCCCGGTCCTGTTGCGGGTTTAGAAAGCTGGCAACCACCCCGTCGGCCTGCAGAGTCGTGGTCGTGGGGTGGTCCATCCTGTGGCAATTGACTCTGGTCGACTTGGGTCCCCTTTGCTCCCGGAGACGCTAGTTCATGAATTCTTGGGGCTTGCGCTTGTGCCGAACACGTTGGCGGCCCGCCGGCATTGCTCTCCTGGCCGGCCAGACGCTGGTCGGTAGCAAGGCGACCACAGTCACGGATGACGTCCTCTTGGTCGTCCGTTTTCCCCCTTCCTGGATAGGCTCCGTACCGGAAACAGCGCGGATTTGCTGCGGATTATCGGCGTCGACTCGCGTGGTTGGAATCGTCGGGTTTCGCCAGGACGGCTTCCCCAGACTGTCTCGTCTTCGGCCCGATAATCTCGTCGCGCCTTCCCGTCCTGATGACCAGAGAAGTTTCCTGAGTCCAGGCGCAACGGCGACCCTGTGTTGTTCAAACCATTTCCTGCCAATGATGATGTCGTAGTCCATCCGGACGACCAAGAATGGTAAGTTCTTTAGAGTCGTCCATCAATCTCGAAGTCCATAAAAAAAACCTCCTTGATCGGGTGTTTGTGCTTGACTCCCGCGTAATCCTTTAGGTGAATTGGCTGATCAAGCCTCTTCCTCTGGGCCCCAAGTTGTGAGGCCGCTCTTCTCGCTAACCTATGGTTAATGGCGAGATACATACTCGCTCCGGTGTCTGCAAGGGCACGAATGAGAATAGACATGTTGTTCAATTTAAGGCGAGATGAGATTGTCAGCTGTTTGCCCCCTATGAGTCTGTCCAAATCCGCCGCTCCAATCACAGACACCAAGTCGGCCAGGAACGAGACTTTGTCCTGGCCTACTCGTTTTCCGACTCCGAACTGCTCGAGTCTGGGTCGCAAACCTTGCCCTTGCCCGTGGCGGTGTTGGTTGTCGCTGCGCTGACTGGGGCCGCCTGCTCTCCACGGTCTTCGTGGTTGCCTTTCCGGTGTTGTTGTTGCGGGTGCGACAGAATGGGGCGATATGCCCAGATTCTCCGCACCGGTAGCACAGGTTATTGATGCGGCGACGTTCCTCTCTTCCTCGGAGATACGGTTCCTCCAGCTTCCCGGCTAGCCCTTCGTTGCCAGTTTGTTCCCGGTGGCGACCACGGGCATTGTTACGGTTGCCGCCATTGTTCCGAACCCTCGGGCACCACTACTACTAGAGTGGTTGCGCTTCTTTGCGCTTCGGAAAAGTTGTGGCGGGCCACGAACACCTGGTGCTGTGCTGACTCACAGAAGTCCTCGTAGCGCACTTTCGTATCGTAGACCCTCTCGACCACCGCTTGGTTGACCGGAGCAGGAAGAGAGTCCCACAGGGTCTGTTTCTGCATTGAAGGTTGGTACCCCGCCGCCTCGTACATGGAGTTGAATTCCCCCAAGAAAATATTGAAGTCCTTCTTCCAATCGTATTTGCAGACACGCAGCTGGGCGCGGGCGTCGGCGCCTTTGTTTGGGTTTGTGTGCGCTGTCTGGAGGACCTGGATTAGTTCGGCCAATGTTGTGAAAGGCCGAGTCAGCGAGTGGTGGCGTCCTTCTACGGTCTTATACGCGGTGCCCTCGAGACGCGTAATCACGAAGTTGATCCGCGTCTTCTCAGAGGCGAAAGTATCGTTGTCCTCCTCGAACTTGCCCTCTACTTGCTTAATCCAGCTTTCAAACGAGAGTCCTTCGCCGGAGAACATGGTGGGTTTCTCTCCCGACGTTTCCGTCCTCTCTATAGTTTGGGTTGGTGCCATCCATCGACTCATATCTCCGGAAGGCTAAAAGGGCCGCATATCCTGACGGCCGGAATTCTTCGCGGTCGTCAAAGGCTGTTCCTTCCCGTTGGCCTGGTGTGCTGACTTCATCTTCACCATATTGGCTGTCTCTTGGCTCGGTCACTCGTACTTGGGCGACCAAACGGGCCACTTCTCGGCTGATGTGGTCGGTTAATTGCTGTCTCTGCTCGGGAGACAATTCGGTGAACAAGCCGCTGCTGCCCTCCTGATTGGTTCTGTCAGCCATTTTAGGTCCCTGTCCTTCCTGGATGGTTATGTGCGATTCGATGGTCCCTGAACTGTTTCTTTGGTCTTGATCTCGGTCTTGATCTTGGTCTTGGTCTTGGTCTTGGTCTTGGTCTTGGTATTGATCTTGATCTTGGTCTTGGTCTTGGTCTTGGTCTTGGTCTTGGTCTTGGTCTTGGTCTTGGTCTTGGTCTTGATCTTCGATGCTTGGTAAGACGGGTCGTGGGAGCTGCGATCTATGGAGGGCCGTGTCCTGTTCAAGTGGGCCGGCCGAGCGCAGTCTTGGCATGGGGTAAAGTCGTGGCGTTCTTATGAATCGCTCGGCAGCGATGGCGTGGTAGAGAGCAGAATAGTGTGACGGTCACGGACTGAGCCAGAAGGCTGTGGACTCTATTACGAAGATTCTGCTCTGAAGAGAAAGGAGAACAGAACAATACAACTGGGTGTCCTCTCCCTAAATATGCCTTCCGTACGTGTGGGCCGTTGGCTCAGCAACATGTGGGTCATGTATGCAAAGGGGGTGTGACGGTGCTAGGCCGTCACACCTTGCTGATATTGGCTTAAATAGCCGGCCTGCTATGAACGCTCCGTGGGAACCGTCTTCTATTAGCGTTAGGTAGAAGTCGGAAAAACGATCGAAATAGGGGAGAAACTAGTCTTCTTTCGTATCGGGCCCTATACCTTCCTTTGCTTCTCGAAGCAGGGATAAAAAGGCAGCCTAGTAATCCTTCGAGAGAGGTGCCTTTCCCACCCCCTTAGGGGTCGAGACGGGAAGACTAACTGAAAAAGCTGCTTCTAGATCTTCTTCTTGTTCCGTAAGAGGAGGCATAGGGAGGTAGGCGTATTCTAGCTCTACCGCTTTCCTATAGTCTCCTTCTTCGTCTAGATCATCTAATCTAGCAGCTTTCTCTTCTTCTTCTTCTTCGAAGTCGGCGTTATCCTCGACTACTTCGACGTCGGTTTCTTCTTCCGTTTCCTCGTCTAGGACCTCTTCTTAAGACTGTTAGGAAGGGGGGATTTAGATCTTCTAAATTAGCTGACGTTGTAAGTGTAAGAGGGGCTATTAATCCCTCTTTCCGTCGAAGAAGCTAAATTCGTCGAAAATCATATCCCTAGTCGAAATAACCTTCCGTAGAAGAGGAATCTAGATCCGGAAGATATTTATAGAATTATACCCGACGAGGTAACCAACAAAGGCTCTAGGATTAAGCTTTCTTTTCTTCTTCCTTTTTAGCTATGCATCGGCAGTCATAGCGTATGCCTTGCAGCCGTAGGCACGAAGGTGGGCTAGCGAGGCCCTCTTCTTCGTAAAGAGCTCGTATAGGGATTTCCAGTCTATTCCTTAGGTAGTCCCTCTAGGGTCCTTATAGTCCCTTGGGCTCCTAGGGTCCCTTGGGGTCTGGTTCCGAAGGTAATAGGCGGTCTTAACGACTTCCCTCTAAAGGTCGTGTAGAAGCCTTACAGCAAGTCTCATTATACGGGCCCTTTCCATCATAGCACCCCCTAATCTTTCTGCCCCTCCGTTCTAGGCCTGGGTATTCGGTGCTAACGGGAGGGGTAAAATGCCCCTTTTTCGAAGCCAATTTAAGATATCCTTCGTAAATAGCTCTCCGTTAGACCGTATCTTCTTAACCTCGTAGCCAAAGTAGGATTTCATCCAGTTAACGAAGTCCCGGAGGGCAGACTAGTTATGCTTGCTTAGGTAGGTCCGTAAGAAATAGGGGAAAACTATCCCTAAAAAAGCGTCTGTGAAAAACATTACCCTAACGAAGCTTTCCTGATCCCTGTGACGGTACAAGTGCACGAACAAGGTCGAGTGCGACTTGGGTAAAGTGATTGTCTACAAGAGAGAAAGAGGTTCCTAAGGAAGACTCTGACTTTCGCTATTTACATGAATAAAAGCGGGACCTTTCATAAAGTATGAAAGTCACATGATCGTTCCCTCACACATGGGCCTCCTTTACTCCATCGCTTCTGATTCTTCCACGTCTTGCTGAGCCTGTAGGCGAGCATTTTGCGCTTCTTGTTTCGTCGGTCTGGGTTTGTTTTTGTTGTGCTTCTCGAACTCTTTGATGGCGATGTGAGCGTTGACGACGTTGTGTAGTGGTTCCCATGTTGCCTGCTCAAGGTCGAAGCCTCTCCATAGTATATGGTACTGGAAGCCTTTCTGTTTTGTGCGTTTCGAGTCCAGTATTTCTTCAATCGCCCAGAGTTTCTCCCCCTTTGCATCTAGCGTTATTGGTGGGGCGGTGTGTTGTATTGGCCGGGAGCGGTCGTTTGGTGACGGTCGCAGGAGGTTGGTGTGAAATGAATTGTGAATTGAGTCTAGTTCATGTGGCAACTTCAGTTGGTAGGAGTGAGGTTGAGCACGCGCTCGATTCGAAAGGGCCAATGAACTTGTGATCTAGTTTTGGGATGGGTCGGGCTGAATCAATGTTGCGTGTGCTAAGTAGCACCATGTCTCCAACTCGGTAAGCTGGCGCCGGTGATCTATTTGCGTTGGCGAACTGCTCTTGTGAGGCTTGAGCTGAGAGCAGGTTTGTCCGAAGTAGATCAGTGATTTCTTGCATCTTGGCGACAAATTCGTTCCCCTCGTTGCAGCGTTCTGCCAGGTCTTTGGATGCCGCGAGTGGTATTGCGCGAGGGGACCAAAGCTCATTCGGGGTGATAGCCTGTGTTCGCAAAAATGGGGACATTCCCGTTGAATCGCTGACAACGTTACGGGCTGCGAATTCGGCCAATGGGAGCCACTCGTCCCAGTCGTCCTGAGCAAAGCTAACATATTGGCGAAGGTATTGTTCGAGAAATGAGTTAGCGTTTTCCGTCTGGCCGTCAGTTTCGGGGTGATATGCTGTAGAAAGGCTGATATTGATCCGTAGACGGTGGCAAACCGCTTTCCAGAATTCCGAGACAAACAGTGGTCCTCTATCAGACACGATTGAATCCGGTAGTCCATGGAGTTTCCAGACATCTCGTACGAAGAGTGTTGCCAAGTCATGTGTTTTCATGTCGGTCTTGCAGGGCGTGAAATGTCTGTCCTTTGACAGCCTATCGACTACCACCATGATTGCGTTGAATCCACGAGCTGTGCGCTGAATTGGGCCAATGAAGTCAACGGATAAGTCTCTCCATCTTTGCAAGGGAATTGGGAGCGGTTTCAATGTCCCCTGGTACCGCAACTGGGAGGTTTTGTTCCTCAGACATCCGTGGCAATTGCGTGTGAATTGTTTCGTATCGGCGCTAAGCTTTGGCCACCAATAAGAGCGTGAAATGAGTTCGTATAGCTTGTTTTTCCCGGGGTGGCCTGATTCGACGCTGTCATGGGCGAGTTGAGTGAGAAGGGTCCGTAGTTCGCCTGCGGGTACGTATAGCCTCTCTCGGAAATATAATCGGCCTTCGTTTATCATGCATTCCGATAGAAACTTCCTTTGAGTGGGGAATTCCATGGGGTTTGAGCATCTCGTCCTGATTTTCATCCACCATTCGTCCTCCTCATAGCCCTTGTCTAGAAGTCTTGTGATTTTGTGGTTGATTGGTTCTGGCTGAATTTCGTCAAGAATGGCGGGACATAGTGCAATCTCTTGTTCCCAGGAGAGATTTGCAAAGAGCTCTGAGAGCTCGGGTCAAGCCTTAGTTGTTCTTGTACAGAGGAGTCTATGTTGGAAGGCTTAAGCAGCGACTGTTGTTGGTACTGGATGCGGTCGTCATTTTCATCTTTCGGTAAGTCTTGTGATCTCCGTGTGAGTGAGTCAGGCTTTCCGTTCTCTTTCCCAGGCACTGACTTGATAGCGAATTGGAACTGTGATAGGAATTCGCTCCACCTGACTTGTCGTCTTGAAAGTTGCTTGGTTGTCATGAAATATCGAAGGTTGGCATGGTCAGTGATGACTGTAATCTGGTGGTGTGTGCCTTGGAGTTCGGGTCTCCAGCATTCGAAGCAGCGTACAATAGCCAAAAGTTCTTTGTCATATATCTCGTAATTGCACTCAGCGGGGTCGTACTTCTTGGACATGAAAGCCACTGGGTGTAGCACTCCTTGATCGTCTTCCTGGGAGAGAATACCCGAAGACACAAAATCGGACGCGTCGCATTCGACAAACACTTCTCTTGCGGGGTCGAAGTGTCTGAGGATTGGCGCTGAAGTGAAGCTATTTTTGAGCATATCGAATGCTTCTTGGCAAGATGAAGTCCAGTTCCATTTGACTAGCTTCCGTGTCAGGGCAACAAGTGGTCGTACGATGCGTGAAAATCCCTGATGAACCGTCTGTAGAAATTTGAGAATCCTAAAAGGCTTGGACATCTTTGACATTGATAGGGCCTCCCAGTTGATGAGACAGTTGACTTTCTCTGGGTCCATCCGTACTCCAGTGGTTGAGATGATCATGCCCAGGTATTTGACTTCAGTAGTCTCGAATTCGCATTTCTTGACGTCAAGTTGTAGGCCTGCGGCTTCAAGTGCTTGGAGTACTGATTTGACGTGGAGTCTGTGGGTGGCAAGGTCGTCTGAGTAGATGAGAATGTCGTCGATGTAGGCCGTGCAATATCTATCAAGGAATGGGCGTAAGACTTCGTTAATTCGAGCTTGAAAGGTAGCCGGGCGTTTGATAGTCCAAAAGGCATCACCATGCTCTCGAAGAGACCATATCTTGTGTTGAACGCCGTCATCCATTCCTGACCCTCCTTGATGCGGATTCGATTAAACGCTGCGACGACATCGAGTTTGGTGAAATACTTGGCTTGGCTTAGCTGGGAAAGGTCTCCTGGATCAACGGTAGGGGTAACGGTTCTTGATGGTTATCGCGTTAAGAGCTCGGTAGTCCACGCAAAACGAAGGCCCCTCCTGGTTTCTTTGCAAATAACACTGGCGAGGCTGCCGGTGAGGTGCTAGCGCGTATGAAACCCTTATCAAGGTTTTCCTGAAGGAATTTCCGGAGGACGAGAAGTTCGTCTTGTGACATCCCGTACAGAGGTCCATGTGGTGGAGTCGTTCCAGGTTGAAGTTCAATTTCGTGGTCGCAGTCTCGGTGTGGGGGGAGTTTATCCGCTTCTGATTGGTCGAATGCTTTCAAAAATTCATGGTAGTGTTGGGGTACTTTTGTTGCAGGATCGATCAAAGTCTTGGGTTCGAGGGCTTTGTGAATGTCTTCGAGTGATGCCCCTGAAAGGTACATATCGGCTGCCGTTTTCCGGGAAGCTCGGAGTTCCTGTGTTTGTTGGTCCTTGGGGTCAAGGGAGGTGATTCCGTCCTGTAGCTGGAGTTCTCGGTTCATCTTGTCCATGTCTGTGAGTGCAGAGTCGAATCGGACCCTTCGGCGTGCTTTAGGTTCTACGAAGGTGGAGGCTTCTGTGATGACTCCAAGTTCAGCCAGCCTTTTGTCGATCTCATACAGTGATAGTGAGAATACGTCGACGTCGCGGTTTTTGGTCAGCATATGGAATGCGGCTGCGCCGACTCTTCGGGGGATTGATGGGCGTGCCAGTATAGTCGTGGTTGCAGAAATTGACAA